TTCAGATCTTCCAGAACGCCGCCCAGAGTTGCTGCCCTTCGCTTCCCCAAACGTGTGCAGTTGATCATACCAGCCTTATTGGTCCAAGTACCACCATTTCTCATCTGCCACAAATAGCACCAATCTCGCCGCGGTGCCCCCATATACATAGCTGTCCATCGTACCATCCCGACCCACGCACCTCCTTCCCCGGGCATTCTAGGCTCGCTGCCCCAACTTGGGTCGCTGCGACCTTTTGGGATATATACCATATCCCCTACTCGACTCGGTAGCAGTTTCGAGCACTTTGCAATCTTGAATTACTCGCGAGAGCAGTAATTTCGATACACATCACAAGTGTCCCGATCGGAATTTCCTACCCTAAACTCGAACCTCTAGGGGGCGTTCACGTACCAATGGGAGATATTCCACCCCCCTCAAGCTCAGAGGATCACTTGACGCAAGAACCTCAACAGCCTGTCCACAATGTAGGTTCATCCTTTACTCTTGTACATCCTGTTGTTGGCGAAGACACTCATGGTCAATTCCCCTAGCATTCGCAACACCAGCAGCAGCATCAGCACATGCAGGACCAGCATGCTTTCTCCTCCCAGTTCAACATGGCCCAACCATCTGGAAATGGCCGCTCCGGCGCTTACAACATGACCAACATGGCAAATGCCCTTCCTCAGCAACCCGGCAATTTTCGACCTGTGGGCTACCCTCCCGTACCTCAGCAGCAGCGATTCAACTCTTCTACGCCATCTACGGCTATGATGACTCCACCGATGAACAATCATTACGCACCTCAGCATGTGATGCCAATGCAGGGTCAGCATTTTTATATGCCGCAGCAAACGCACCATTTCTACGGCGGACCGCACTCGCCGATGCAGCAACAGACACGACCTAATCTGACTTTCTATCCGAACCACATGGCATTGAATCAGCAGCACAGTCAAATGACGCCTACCTATTATTACCCACAACACAACGCCAACTTTCATCAACATCATCAAGCCATATCCCAGCCCATACCGTCTGGACAATATTACGGCGGAGGTGGGGTGACAAGTGAGCACAGAACGTCGTCCCAGTCACCAAACGGAGATCATGCATCTGGTCCCCAATATGTCCATGGATCGAAAACAGGTGGTGAGTTTTTTCTGCTCCCCGAGAGTCTAAGGAATTGTACTGATTTGTCGAATGCAGAATCTGGCGGCGAAAATAAGGCTGGAATTGTCCGAGGTCCTCCTCGCAAGCCACGACAAAGTGGTAAGTTATTTTTTGTCAATCGTCTAAAAACACCATCTGACTATTACGAGGCCATGCTATTTGGATTGGTAACCTGCCACCCCAGACGGAGTTAATGAATCTTGTCCATCACGTTTGCAAAGAGGCACCAGGTCTCGAATCTCTCTTCCTTATCTCCAAGAGCAACTGCGCCTTTGCAAACTTCAAGGACGAGCAAACATGCGTAGCGGCGCAACAAAAACTTCATGATTCAAAATTCCAAACCGTCAGACTCGTGAGCCGTCTGCGCAAGAACACCGTTGAAGGCACGACCGGTTTGGCGGGCCCCACTGGGCCAGCAGCATCTGCCGAGCCTCCGACACCACACACACCTCTTTCGGAAACCATTGTAGATGGCACTGCAAAAGCAACGACAGCGGAACTTGACAGCAAGTCACCACAGGTCCATGATACGGAAATAATGGCGCAGAAGGACAAGTTTTTCATTCTGAAGAGCTTGACTGTTGAAGATTTGGATCTGAGTGTAAGAACTGGCATATGGGCAACACAGTCTCACAACGAAGATACGCTCAACAATGCATTCAAGGTAAGCTTTGGCGCGCGCGTTCTGCTGAGGTTTCATTCAACTACTCCGACAGAAATCTCACTAACAGGGGTTTGGCAGGCTGTTGACAATGTGTACCTTGTTTTCTCTGCCAACAAATCGGGAGAGTATTTTGGATATGCGAAGATGGTGTCGCCCATCAATGAAGACCCAGCCGCAGCCATTGAATTCGCCCCCAAGGCACAGTCAGCAAACGACTTGGACGCGCCCAAAGCGATTGCGACCGAAGCTACGGAACATGCCCCGAAGGGCAGAATAATCGATGATTCGGCTCGTGGCACCATATTCTGGGAAGCTGGTCGAGAAGATGGAGAAAGCGGGGACGAAGAAGAAGAAAGCGACGTCAGCAGTGGGAAAGGGTTTGATGAGGTTGAGGCCAGCAACAAGTCATGGGGGAAGCCTTTCCGACTAGAGTGGCTGTCAACGACAAGACTGCCATTCTATCGGACACGCGGACTGCGCAACCCTTGGAACTCGAATCGCGAAGTTAAGATTGCTAGAGACGGCACGGAACTTGAGCCCTCAGTTGGCCGCAAGCTGATTGGACTCTTCAATCGAGCGCAGAGCCCGATCCCCATGGCGGACGGAATGCGACCAGGGATGGCCATGATGGGCGGGTTCGTGCCCTCTATGCGGCCACCTCACTACCAATGATGAATGAACAGGAGTTGCGGACGATGTTTGGATTGGCCGCCACGGGAACGACTCTCTATGCTGGTCATAGCGCGTAAGAACACAAGGGGGCGAAGTGGAAGACGTTCTACCCATGACCTAGACTTTCAACGATCTCGCTCTTAATGGACAAGCATACGATCATTGTATACATTCTGGCAACTGCCACCTCGCTCGGTATTGGACAACAGCATCACGACGAGTAGATACATCACAGTGACACGTTGTGGCTAGAATACTTTATTGTACGGTCACGCACATGCGACCGGCCAACGCCTCCAGTCAACGGCGTCATTGAGTGGCAGAACCGGGCTCCTTCCGTTGAGGATGGAGTGAAGTTGGGGCTATTGTGGCACGCCCGAGTGGCTTTCTCCGTGTCGTGTGGCTGGAGCCCGTCTGTCAACCCACCATCCCTGACAATCTCTTGCCTGAAAGAAACCAACACTGGACAACGCCACAAACTACGAATGATCGCCGGGCCCTGAGCCGGGACTGAGGTGTGCCGAAGCCTCAACCTTGGCTCGGCGTACTGGCGCAAGGGGGCAAAATAGCAAGGAGAACTAGTACCATCCCTACAAACTGGCTGCCAAGGGTCCAAGAAGAAACGCCTATCTCGGACAGACCGGCGAGTCGCACTTGTGATAAACTGGGGGTGTTTTACTAAGAGGTCTGGCCGCGTGATGCGGTGGTTTGGTGTTCGGACATCCCGGATCGTGTATGCAACTGATAATCGTCTGCCTAGCCACCTTGTTGTATGCAGATCACATCTAGGCTGCTCTCAGACTTGGATGAGGCACATGAGGGGGGAAAAGTGTGGTGTGTGAAAGCCGGCAAGTTCGAGGCTGGGCCAAGGACTGGCTGGCCATGCGAGGCAGCCAGATTTGTTTGGGCAACACATCTTACGCGGTACTCAAACGCCGAGCCAATTGACCGTTGGGTGATGAACTTTTCACATCACCGATCACCTACCTATGTAGAATCAATTCGCTGAAACGGAGGATTCGGGGCAGAGCAGTGTCCATCATGACGTCATATTTCTGCCAAACATCGTTGTCCACTGAACTTATTAAGCATTGCCATGGGAAAGTGTGGGGATGAGGGGTGGCAGCAAGCGGTTTGCAAAAAAAATGGCCCCAATAAATTCCTCACCATTATAATAACCTACGAAATGGCCGAACAACCCCATCACCAGACGCCTACGAAATCCAGGATCCTAGGGGCTATTGAATATATGGAACGGTATAAGATTCCCTATTTCAAAAGACGCCTTTTTGCGTTAAACGGAGTTCCAGTTCGTACTGGAAATCGGATCCTTAAGGAACACCGCGACCGACGCCTCTATAACGACCCCCAGAGACTAGAGACCCGTAGCCGCCCAAGATCCCTTACGCCTAGGGACTTAGAGCTTATAGAGCAGTTAATCTAGAAGGCTAGATTTGAGGCCGGTACCCTCAGTTAATAGACCCTAGCCTACGAGGCTGGCGTCCATATTGCCTGCCACTGGCAGACTATCTGGGTAGTAATAGTGAGGAATTTAATTGGGGCCATTTTTTTTGCAAACCGCTTGGGCAGATACCACAAGGATGACTGACGGTTACCAGCTGGCAATCACAACAAGTACGGTGCACCATACATACCAAAACTGCAAGAACCCAACATCAGGTTGGCATTGAATTGAATGGAATATGAATTTACTTTCGAACCACTTGCGTGCTCTTGAAATTCGTCGTCAAATAAGAAAATGCTTCCTAAGTCGATTGTAGACTCACATCAACGTCAGCAATTCAGCTGAGCCCTTGGAGAGGAGGTTGGTCAGGAAGATTCACTCTGATTCCACATCATTCCACCACCGTCCATTTGATTCCAGAGGGTTCGTGATAGCTTCATCAGACACCACAAGACTTCTGGAGTATATTCTCGAATGATCAGTCATTGTCCGTGGCATACGTAAACTTTCGCTCGGTTTCTTGTCATCAACTTTCATGAAGTTTCCAGATGCTACAGGAAAGTCCGCAGTTGCCTGGCGACGAAGAATAAAAAGACCTCCTTCGACCCTCGACAGAACGTTTTCCTTTTTCCTCATCAGCACACGGAACAACAGTCTACAGTTTACAAAAGCCTACAAAAGCAAGCAAGCAATCGACTCCAAACACCCCACCATTCTTCAGTCTACTCGCAACCTAAAGTTCATCACGCCTTCAAACCACTATCTCAAGACACCACACACACAGACTATCAAAATGGCCTTCTTCCCTCGCAACTTTTACAACTCGAACTCTGGCTCTGAGACCAGCTTCACCCCCCTCTTCCGCCTTCTCGATGACTTTGACACATACTCGCGCCAGGGTCAGAGTCAGCAGCGCGGCACCATCGCCTTCCAGCCCAAGTTTGACGTCCGCGAGGTCGATGACGCCTATGAACTCCACGGCGAGCTGGCCGGCCTGAACAAGAAGGATGTTTCCATCGAGTTCACGGACCCTCACACTCTCCACATTCGCGGCCGCGTCCAGCGCTCCTACACTGCCGGCACTCCTCCCAAGGGCCTTCTTGAAGATGCCTCCGCGAGCGGTGCCTTGACCGAGGGCAGCGACAAGCATGAGCAGCCCGCCTCCGGACGCTCCTCGCCAAAGTTCCACAAGCCCACGGTCGAGGACGAGACGGACGGTGCTGACTCAACTGCCGCACCCACCCCAGCCTCAACTGTCGCCGAGGTCAGCAAGCCCGCCGCCGAGGAGGCCTCAACCCCCAAGGCCCGCGGCCCCCGCGACACCGCCAAGTACTGGGTCACCGAGCGCAGCATCGGCGAGTTCAGTCGCACCTTCAACTTCCCCGGCCAGATCCTCCAGGATGCCGTCACCGCCAGTCTCAATGATGGCATTCTCACCATCCGCGTACCCAAGGCGCCTAAGCATGAGGCCCGCCGCATCAACATCAACTAAGCGGCTTTCTAGTCACGATTTCACACTTCCTTCCGGTACCAGCATCATTAGCAACTTTGAAATCTGGAAGAGAACTGAATGGATGGAGTAAATCATTGCCTGGCGTTGCGGTTACACATGATGGATTTTGGGGGTGGGATATTCCCAGTTCCATCTCCTTTGGTTCATGGAGGCGTCTGGTTTTTTTTTACGTAGCTTAGCAAGTAATATGAGCCGATCATTCACTGAAACAACTCATCCTTTTCTCGTGTCTCGAATGTGATTATCACGAGCTCATCCGCAAACCGTGAACGTAACTTGACCCCTGAGATAAGAGGTTCCATTAATCAGCAGGCTAGAGTGGCAAAGTATGAGCAAAGGCACGTGACTTGGCGTCGTCTGCCTGATCTAGACCCCACCCCTCAAACGCGTCGGGTATCTTCGCTCACGTCAACACCCCGCGCGGCAATTATTCTGTCCCTCACACCTCTTTGAAGTGCTGTTCGCATCCTAACTGCACTCTCTTGAAGGGCTGGTGTCACGAGCCCAGGTACCAAACCCAGGATGACGCAGGTTGACGACTACAACGAGAACAACAATGGTGAGGGCGAGATGGATGACGGCGGCATGACTGGCCCCGGGGCCCCCACGCCACTGTCAGCTCTGGAGGTATGAGACGTGTTATATTGCGAAGCAGCCTGCAGTTCTGATGAAAGCGAAAAATGTAGGGCGTCGCAGGATTGACGAAGCGAGACATCCAACTGATTGTCGACGGAGGCTTCAACACCATTGAATCCGTCGCTTACACCCCTCAACGCACTCTTGAGCAAATCAAGGGCATCTCGGAACAGAAGGCCGCCAAGATCCTCGCCGAAGGTAAGCCGCGTCGTTCTTCTCGTTCTCACTGCATGAAGTGCATGTCTAATGAGACGAATTGATGAAACAGCCTCCAAGCTCGTGCCCATGGGCTTTACCACAGCAACCGAGATGCACCAACGCCGCAGTGAGCTCATCTCGATCAGTACGGGATCGAAGCAGCTTGACACGTTGCTTGCCGGGGGTATCGAAACCGGCTCCATCACTGAGCTTTTCGGCGAGTTCCGCACGGGAAAGAGTCAAATCTGCCACACACTGGCCGTCACATGCCAGCTGCCCTTCGACATGGGAGGTGGTGAAGGCAAATGCCTTTACATTGACACAGAGGGCACCTTCCGCCCTGTGAGGCTGTTGGCCGTCGCAAATCGCTTTGGTCTCTCCGGCGAGGAGGTCCTGGACAATGTCGCCTATGCGCGCGCCTACAACTCTGACCACCAGCTTCAGCTTCTTCAGCAGGCGTCTGCGATGATGTGCGAAACGAGGTTCTCGCTCCTCATCGTGGACAGCGCGACCGCGTTATATCGTACAGACTTTGTCGGCCGTGGAGAGCTGTCGTCGCGGCAAACGCACCTGGCCAAGTTCTTGCGTACTTTGCAGAGACTTGCGGATGAATTCGGCATTGCCGTCGTCATCACGAACCAAGTTGTGGCGCAGGTGGACGGCGGCCCGAGTGCCATGTTCAACCCTGATCCCAAGAAACCTATCGGAGGCAATATCATTGCTCACGCCAGCACAACGAGGATCAGTTTGAAAAAGGGAAGAGGCGAAACCCGTATCGCCAAGATCTACGACAGCCCATGCCTTCCTGAGAGTGATTGCTTGTTTGCCATCAACGAAGACGGCATTGGTGATCCCAGCCCCAAGGATCTCGAGAAGGATTAATGAGGGGTCCAATAATGTTCATGAGTTAGCGATGAGGTCTCAACGACTTGGGTGATGGAGAAGGCCGGCGTTTTGGGCTTGTAGAATTACTTAGCATGGCATGGCATGACGAGATCGGACGATTCAATGTTTTTCACGGGGCGATGTATCAGAACTTGCTTGATGGAAGAAACCTGACCGATGATCCCTTCACTCCCTGCAAGAGCGAGGCCCGAACAGATGTGCCTCTTCATTGCAATCACGACGATTCGTGTGCCTGGGCTGCGTCGCCAATACAGTGCGAATACCACAATTAATTCGACGCAAACTGTTGTCAAGCTCGTTACTGAACCGGGACTAGTGCGTCGCGCTTTCTGCAGGCTCGGTGCTCAACCTTGAACTTTCAACACCAACGCGCAGTGCAGCTGGATCCATTCGTTGCATGCGCCCGCTCCTGCCCACGCAACACCACTGTCCCTCATCTTCGACTAGAGGTCGATGACCGGCGGAGGCAGGATGGACACCCAAAACACCCAGTACCTTTACAAGGAGATTCGCCTAAACCTCGAGCCCTCGTCTTCAACCTCCGTTGTCAACATCAAAGTGCCTCCGCCCTCTGGTACCAGCCGAAAGCTTCCAAACACCGACAAGTCGGGCACCGACGACGAAAATATATTCCGATCAAAGAACCTAGCGAGCGCATCATCCATATTTCACCGCAAATACCACGCGACCCCTAGCAGCTTTCTGTGGAGGGTGCTGGAGGATGGGACGGTGCTGAGCATACGAGCAACGGATGTCGCCAAGAACGAGAAGGATGCCGATGCACCATTGATCCTCAACTTCCGCTTTGCAGCAGCAATTCAGCCCTCCTGCATTGCGTTTGCCGATCCCAGAGAACATGATGCGCTGTGCATGTTCGTTCTCGACGACGCGAACGTCCTCTATTCCTTCACCCTTCGACCCGACTATTTCAGAAAGCGATCCGCCATCGAGGCTGGGCCTGCTGAGGCCTGCAGAGTCTACGTCCCTTCTGTCTTCAGCTTCAAGCACCCCCATCGAATGATTGCGGCGACCGCCGACCAGGTTGTTGTTGCGCTTCATGACGGAGGCCTCGTGAGGCTTGACCGGAACAAGGCCAACAACTGTAAGATTTGTCCCTCCAGCTTCTCAGCTGCCTTGCCTACACCACGATGCTAATGTTCCGCAGCTGTTGGACATCCGTGGAAAGAGACGATCTACAACTCACAAAGCTGGACGCAAGGCCTGCGCAGCTTGATTCCCTTCCAAGGAAAGTCCCCGATATGGCATGGCAAGATCAACATGGATTTAAGCGCTGCTACATCGCTTCAAGTCACCGACCTGGGTATTGAGGGCGCCTCGTTCCTCTTCACAGTCTGTCTCGACCACCGAATGCGAATCTGGAACCTTTACACCGGCCAGATACTATTCACAGGAGATATTCTCAATGCCGAACGGAATCCACAGGAGGTGGGCAAATGGACTGTGGACCCAACGCAGTTTAACCTTCTGCAAATTGTTGGCCACAGTGTTGGCGTCAGGACCTGTGCAACCTACTCTCCCATCGGACAAGGAGAGTTCAAGCTCTGGACTGTAAGAGCACATGATGCCGAGACCATCTACGTCGAGGATAGCTTCCCCGATGTTCATCTCGTGCCTTCCGCGCCATCCCTGTCCGATGTTTGGACTCTCGCAGACTTTAACATGCTTGGAGACTCTGACGGCGGCATCCAGCTCTGGGCCTTGTGGAAAAACAACATGACCTATCGGGTCCAAGGGCTGGATCTCGATCAGGATCACGTTGACGAATGCTGGCAAAATAACTGGACCTCAGTCTTCATCGACACCACCAGCGAGCCTGCGCCAGCGTCTGGACCATGTGACCCGACAGACGTGACCGACAAGTGGCTCAACCTGATTCTGTCGCCTGGCAAATTTACTCGCAACACACTCGAGACCGCACTCTCCATCTACGAGAGAGGACTCGGCGCGGCGAAAGAAGGAGGTTCTCGGTCCCAGAGGGGCTTGGCCGAGTCAGTTTGCTCAGTCATAGCCTCGACAGCAGCCCTTGACAGGAAGTCGTCTGGAGGCATGGACTATGAGCAGTTCCGGGCAAGCAGTGAAATCCAGTGGCGGAGATTCCACAGACTTCTACTCGAGCTCGACAAGCAGCGCGGAGAGGCTGTCTCGCTTTCCGTCGACCCTCGCAGCGGTCTTGCGTGGGTTGTTTGCGCCGACAGCCTCTCTGCTATCAGGGAGTGCAGCAGCCTGGAGCGACTGTGCCACAACTTTTCGCGACCTGACGAGGGCTCCGAAGACGTTGCGAAGCTCATCTCAACCGGTCTTGGTTTCCTGGACGCCTTCCCGGACAGCATGGTGCAGGTGTGCACCGCTGCGCTGCGCCCCGAGGTCTTCGAAGAGACAACCCGAACGGATTACGAACGCCTGCAGCACGTGTGGGACACGACAGGCTTCTGGCGAAGCGTAAGTGAGGATGACTGCTCGCAAGTCATTGATAGCTTTGGTCAGCAGTTTGCCTTGGTCACAGAGAGCCTGTACACCGAGGTCTTTGACCTGCTCTCAACTGGCAACGACACCAGGCACCACAACGCTCAGCACCCTCTCACCGACTTTGGCAGGGGGCTCGTTGTCAAAGCAGTCCAGGAAACTGTCGAATTGCAATGGAGGATCTGCCTGAGTCAGTTGTTGCTCCTCGTCCACATGGAGTTTGACTGGGAACGGGAAGAAGATATGCTTTCGAAGAGGCTCGACGTCGGGTCGGTTTTCCGACAGTATCTCAGTTCTCTTCGGCGACTAGAACTCATCCGCTGGCTGGCCACGACAGAGGTCACAGTCCCCCTGCAAGTCAAATCGGAGCGCTCAGGATCGTTCTCCGGAGGTTCCCCTACTGTTTCTCGGAAGAAAGAGGAGGACAGCAAGGTGATCACGGCACTCGAAGGAAACGTCGGCCACCTTCTAGGCTTCCCAGGTGTCACTGACGAGCCTCTCGCAGGCAGCATCACAGCACTTGTTGCCAGTCTATGCGCTGCAGATAGCGATATCGAAGTGTCACCAAGCCTGATTCAGTGCTCTCTCATCAGAAGAGAGAGGGCAGATCTTGCGGATGGGCTCAGCCCGTTCTGTGACCAGACACCGTTTGCTATATATGTGCAAGGACGCGTTGCACTTGGTCTGAAAGACTACGACTCGGCTGCCTTGAGCTTCCGGCGAGCGACCGTAGGCATGAGTGAGATAAACCCTGCATCAAGTCTCTCCGTGCAGTTGACTAACCACTCGCTAGGCGTGCGAGACGAATCCCTAGACCGACACAGCAGTGGCCTCCTGGACGACGCCGAGTGGAATCTACTTCACAAGGGTCCTGCGAAGTACTACTGCCACATCGTGTCTCTGTTTGACAGGGTCAAGGCATACTCGTTTGTACTAGAATTCGCCGGCTTAGCCTTGCAATTTGCCCGCTCTAGCGAGGACTCTGAGACTGTCCAGCGAGAAATGCTGAACCGACAGTTCGTTGCAGCCACGACGACCTCCCGTTTCGATGTTGCCCACTCAAGCCTCCTCGCCATGGAGGACAAGGCGATGCGACACAATAGCTTGTCACGGCTTGTCGAAAAAATGTGCACGAGCCACTACAACGAAGAACTCACGTCGCTGCCCTTCCCCGGCCTTCATGACCAGATCGACGAGATTCTGGCCTCAAAATGCAAGACGACGATGGAGGTCACCGCCGGCGTCCCTTATCATCAGATTCTCTACTCTTGGAGGATCAGCCACAATGACTACCGCGGCGCGGCGTCGGTCCTGATGGACCGCATCCAGAAACTCAAGCATGCAGGCGAGGGCGACAAATACCAAGGAGAGGATGTCCTGGATACGCCGGTCACCAAGCAATACCTGCTGCTCATCAACGCTCTCAGCTGCGTCGACGCCAAGCAGGCGTGGATCTTCTCGGAGGAGCTGCCGCCGCAGAACAGCCGGGACACGAGCGGCTTCCAGGCGAAGCGCAAGGTCGTGACATTGGCAGACTTGCGCAAGCAATACCAGGACGAACTCGACAGGATCGCGGCCATTCAAAACAACCAGTTCGGGTTCGAGGCGGGCGACGAGGTAATGGATATTCTGTAAGGGACGGAACACCCAGCAGAAGGGCGCGGGACACAGAGGGCGTGGGCCTTGTACAAGTAGGCAGAGGGCAGGTGAAAACGTTTCCAGGTGGAGAGATAGATACCTCACGAACTGCATGAAATGGGAACGCGCGCGGTTTGGTTGTAAAATTATCGTTTTGCCCCCCCTGTGTCCGTGAGACGGGGTTCTAGAGCACAGTCATAATTGCCAACGCCGTGCCCTATGCTGAGAAAATTATCAATGATAACCATTATGTACATTTGTCCTCCCCTTCACTAAGCTTCTCCCTGTCCAGCTCCGCTCAGGCGTCTCTTGCAGAAGCGGCCGTGGTCGGTCATGCCGGCGGTCCTGGCATGATCTTGCTGCTGTTGTCCGGAGCCGAAGCTGTGATCTGCGACTGCGCGGGCGCGATAGCGTCAGGCGCTTGGCGGTACAGGATAATCTCGGACTGCTTGAAGTATCGTCGCGCGTCTGAAAACAAGTTAGTACGGGCGGAAAGCAGACTATGATATCATGTGATGCAGGCCTACCCTCATCGATCAACACTAGACTGAGGTAATATCTTGTTGAGAACTTCTTGTTGACGTCTCGGAAGGTAGGCGTCAGGTCGAAGCCGCCGAGGAACAAACGGATTGGGATGGTCTCTCCTCTGGATGGTGAGCCGTCCATGATCTAGTTGCCCAAGCATGTCAGTCAGGCCTCACACCCCACCCATCGCGTCTCATATCTTGGAAGCGCAGGTCTCAGAACCAGACTCACCTCGAAGCGAACCAGCGTCTCGCTCTCATTATATTGGTTGGGCGCAGCGCCCGTCGTCTCCCTTCTGATGATGGACAGCTCCATGTGCTTGATCTTCAGCCTGACGAGAAGGAAGTATATCCTCCCAACAATCACGTCCTTGAGATGGTACTTGCTCTTTGAGTACTCAAACTCAATGTGCAGGCAGTCTTCGATGCCGACGTCCATCTTGATGGAAGAGTTCATCTCGGGAGGGATGCGGTAGCTGTAGACCCAAATGTCCTTCTCTCGAATGACATCGGCCATGCGGCGCGAGACGGTCACGCGTGTGAAGTAGCGCAGCTTGACATTGATGCCGTTGTACGACTCGTACTGCTTCTCAACATTCTTGAAGTTGAAGTCGAAGGTCTGCGGGTGCTGCAGCTCGCCGGGGGCGGCGAGCTCCTGGACGAGCGAGAGGAATTCGTAGTGATTGCCGCGGTCGAAGAACATCTCTAAGAAAGGGGTACGACAGATCCTGTCAGTGTGTGCATCCCCGTATGCCAGCTTGGGCAGCAAGCTGTGCTCTCTGGCTCTCTAGCGCATGGGGCCCGCGGGGAGGGGGGCCGCTCACCTATGGTTCCGATGAATTGGACCTTGATGCCCGTGTGTTCCAATCGCTTGCCATCCTTTGGCCTGATCGTGACGGCGCCCTTGACAGACTCCCCGTCCATGTACAACGGGGCCTTCTCGCGGCGGTTCTTGTCGAGCTTCACATCGACCATGGAGCGGTCGTCGGCATCCTCGAGCACAATGTCGATGTCGACGGGGGTTGCGAAGAAGTAGGCCATGTTGACGGTGCCCAATTGCAGCGTACCGCGGACTGGAGAGGGTTCGTCGTGGTGATGCTGAGGATGTGATGTTGGAGTGGGTTGGTGTTCGTTTGGGGGGGGGGGTGACGGAGCGAGCGGGAGGCTGACGTATCGGATGCCAGGCTGCACTATTGCACTATCACGGTCGCAGGTACCGCCCCATGGTCGTCGGTCGTAAACCTGGCGGGAGCTGCGACCGAGCTGGGACGAGAGCTCTTGGTTTGCGCTAGCGTCTCATTGGCTCTTCTTGTTCACAGATCTCACGTGATCGCAACCATGTGGCTGTGTGGCTGAGGGGTCTTCGAATGACCCCCGCCGCCCGTGCGCTCAAGGTCTCGAAGGGCACGGGCCAGCTGTGGTGAAAAAAGTTCCTCACGTGCAACAAGCCCTAGACCTTTTTTCCCACCCACCGACGAAAGCCAGGACGAGATACCAGCAGCTCCAGTGTCCCGAGTTGAAAGTAGCCAGCCTCACGACAACCTCGAACCGCCGACGACATTTCGCCCAACAATCTTCCCCCACCACCGTCAAGATGAAGTACATTCACTCTGTCGAGTCCGTCGAGATCCCTGAGGGAGGTATGTGACGACACCAAATACCTCTTTTTCTTTGAAAAGAAGGAAGAAGATTCCGGCACGACCGTCATGGAAAGAACCGACAACCTGTCGATCGAATACTTGGAAGAAGAAGACTTCTCGACTTTTTTCTCGGAAAGGTCGATACGGGAATACGTTCAGACTGTGGATGAGCTCGCAAGGAGCAGAAGTGGCAGGCTGAATGCATGCTGACTTGGATTCTCCAACAGTCAAGGTTCACATCAAGTCTCGCAATGTCACCGTCGAGGGCCCCCGTGGTAAGTAACATTTTTTTCATATCTGTCCCTATGTATCTCCACTCATCACCGGCGACCGAACCGTCCCTTCTCTGTTGCCAATGCAATCTTGCGACGGCCGACGATTCAAAAACTGGCTCATGGCGGCAAAGGCTAACTCGTCGCCTCCTCCCTCCAGGCAAGCTCGTGAAGGACCTCAGCCACCTGGCTGTCAACTTCTCCCAGCCCAAGAAGGACCTCATCAACATTGAGATCCACCACGGCTCCAGGAAGAACGTCGCCACCCTCCGCACCGTCCGCTCCCTGATCAACAACCTGATCATCGGTGTCACCAAGGGCTTCAAGTACAAGATGCGTTACGTCTACGCCCATTTCCCCATCAACGTCAACCTCGACAAGAACTCCGAGACTGGCCTGTGGGAGGTTGAGATCCGCAACTTCATCGGCGAGAAGATTGTCCGCAAGGTCGTCATGCACGAGGGTGTCGATGTTGAGATCTCCAAGGCCCAGAAGGACGAGCTTGTCCTCCTCGGCAACAGCCTCGAGAACGTCTCCCAGAGCGCCGCCGACATCCAGCAGATCTGCAGGGTGCGCAACAAGGATATCCGAAAGGTGAGCTCCCCCCCTCCTTCCTGCATCTTACGCAATGCGTCTCCAATGCCGAGTCAACAAAAAAACTAACATGCAATAGTTCCTTGACGGTCTCTACGTCTCCGAGAAGGGCCACGTTGTCGAGGCCGAGTAAAGGGTCGGCGCGGTGTCTCTCGGGTTTCTTTGCATTCTGGGTCTTGATACAGGAGTGGCTGGGTTTTTTTCTTCGCATGGCACATTTGTAGCAAAGGGGCTACAGGCGTATACCAAAAAGCAAGACACGACCATCCTCTGGGCGAATTCACATCTCAGCGACCCAGATTGCCACACTCCTGTCTAGGATGAATGAAATGCCATGTGAAGCAGCGATTTAAAAAGTGACGATAATGAATGCCTGTTTTCTGCTCTGATTCTACATTGAGAGGAACGTGAAGTACTCCGCAGCTAGTCAACAAGTGTGACAGGCTCTTATTTGAATTTCTTCCCGGGACAACAATCACCCTCTTAGCGCTAGTGATGAAAGAAAGGAAAATAATCAGACTCGGCAGAATACGCCAGATCGCTTCCACCAACGGCAGAATCAAGGTCACACATGACAAAACACTTCATATCGCATAGTCGTTGGGCATTAAAGGGCAAATATCGCCCTCGTCGTCTATTCGCAAATGAACATCCGCCGTCATACAAGAATTGCTATGCAAAAGGGGGGAAGCACTTGAGCTATGCCAAGCTACTTCTCTCTCGCCTCAGACTGCCTTCCTTTCTCAAATCGTTCTTTCATCTTGCGATGCTTCATTTCACATATCCATCTCATTCGTACTCTTGATACTCTTTCCCTCTCATGCCTCATGCTGATGTCCCCCTGAACGCCGCTTCGTAAAAGAAAATCGAAATACCAAACTATGTACTGTCCGCCGTCAAGAGGCAGACGTTCTCATCAGACATCGTCGAAGGATGTCTTCCGCCCATCTACCGCCGTGAGTAGCGCGATTCAGCGCGCGGTTCAGTCCGCCTCGTGCGGTTCGTCCGGCCGGCAGAGCTGCCACCTAGGTACGACGTCAGGTCTGACTGGTCATCGTCATACGACGCGACCCAGACGGCGCCGCCGCAGGGGGCATCCGAGAGGACGCCCTCCGCGAGCCGGCGGGCCGGCATGGGTGCGCGCGACCGCGAAGACTCACTGTCCGTGTACGAGTAGTACGAGTCCGTGTAGCGCGAGCGCGCCTTGCGCGCGGGCTTCTTATCCTTTCGCAGGTTGAGTAGCGCCAACAGGGTGGCGGCGCCGGCACCGAGGCCGAGCCACTTCGCACCGCTCGAGCGGTCCTTCTCGGGGTCGCGGCGGGCAGAGGCCGAGGCGGGGCGACCTCCAAACCATCCGGTGTGGCGGTCACGGCGGGAGTGCGTAGAGGGCATCCGGCTGCCTCCTCGGTAGTGCTCCTCGTATACTTCGGTGCGCTCACGGCGACGGTCGTCCTTCTTCTTCTTGCCACCGCAGAGGAGGGCCCAGAGGCCACGGGCAATGCAGCAGAAGCAGAGAAGGATGAGGAGGGCGATACCAGCAAGGGTGCCGATGACGATGCCTGCAATGGCGCCAGCAGAGAGACCGCCGCCGCCAGTGCCGCCATCTTCACCATTGTCGCCCTCGTTAGGGAAGGCGGTGCCGGTGCCGACAACGCCGGTCGAGGTAGCGGAGCCTGCCGAGTTGGTGAAGGTGGTGCTTGTCACACGGTAGGGAGCGGAGTAGCGGGTCGTGATGGTCTGGCCGTTGCCGTCGGTAACTGTGGTTGTGATGATGCCGCCGCCAAATCCAGGTCGCTGCTCGCACTGGCTCTTTTCTTCGCTCGCGCACTGCTGCCACGCCGCGCAGCAAATGCTGCCGCATGACGTCTCGCCCTCAGCTTGGGGCACGCAGACACCGGAGCCGCCGACACCCCCACCGTGTTCAACAGTAGGGGCGGCAGGGAAAGGGGTCGTGACCGTGCTCGTGA